TCAGATGGTGGTTCGACGAAGGCGAGGGCCTCAAGTGGTGGTCCGGTGAAGGTGAGGGCCTCAGGTGGTTGTCCGGTGAAGGCAAGGGCCTCACGTGGTGGTCCGGCGATGGTGAGGGCCTCAAGTGGTGGTATGCCGAAGGTGAGGGTCTCAGGTGGTTATCCAACGAAGGTGAGGGTCTTAAGTGGTGGTCCGGCAAAGGTGAGGGCCTCAGGTGGTTGTCCGGCGAAGGTGAGGGCCTCATATGGTTGTTCGGTGAAGGTGAGGGTCTCAGGTGGTGGTTCGGCGAAACTCTGGAGGTGGTCTGACGAAACTCCGGTGGTGGTTCGGCGAAACTTCGACGGTGGTCGAGGAGGAGCTTTTTCCTTCTCTTCCTTCTCTTCTTCATTCTCTTCTCTTCTTCTCTTCTTGCTTGAGTCCCCTCTCAAGAGAAATGAGGGGTCTATTTATAGATTTCAGGAGTAGCACGACCCATAAATAGGTAAGATATCAAGGGTAAATAGGGATTGGTTGGATGGACAGCCGATGTTGAATCCCTTGATCATGGATCGTTTGATGGACATTTAAATGTCTTAATGATGCCGGAATTCGACGATCTTGGGCTCGTTGGATTCATCTCGTCGAGCCGTTTGATTTGATTATAAGCACATAATGTTTGAAACCGTTTGGTAATCCAAATTATGGTTCGCATCTTCCAACAACGCTTCGGGTCCTTGATTTGTAATCATTTGAGCTCGGATTGAGTCAAATTTGGTGTGGTTGGGTTCTTATTCTCGAGACGCTCAGTTCAACTATATATAAGTTTGTTGAAATCGCAGTTTGGATGATCCAAATTTTAATTTTGAAGTTTCCACCTTGATTTTGCATCGAAATTCGTGCCCGGTCAATATAATTTTTTGATGACGTGTCAAAACCAAATAAAGTTTGGCAGAATTTACTAAATTATTTTAAAATGTTTTTATATAATTGACATTAGAATTTGAAGATATTATGATATTTTCAAGCATTCTTTTTATATTTGACTTTTGATATTAAAATTATGATATAGTTTTTTTTAATCTTTATATTTAAGACTATGAAATTGTAATATTTAATATTAAAATAATAATAATATAATATTTTTATGAATTTTGTTCTATTAATTGTATGTGAATGAAAAACTTGACAATATCAATGATGATAGTGTGGCCAAAATATGATTGAGCAATTACACCCTAAGAGCATCTACAATGGAATGATAAACAACTTGTTCTTCCATCGCTCCAACCGAGC